AGTAATGATATACTCATGAGTCCATGTTTTTAGGGTTTCGTGGCCCAGGGACGAAAGCTTTATAGTTTCGCTTTGGCGTCCGTCCGTCCATCCGTCGTACATGGTAACCGTTTCCATGGCAACAGTTACAATGACAAAAGTTACTATGGCAAAAGTTACGATGGCAAAAGTTACTATGGAAACCGTTACTTACCATGGCAACAGTTACCATGGTAATAGTTACTATGGTAACCGTTACTTACTATGCCAACAGTTACTATGGCAACAGTTACTATGGCTAAAGTTACTATGGCAATTATTACTTACTATGGCAACAGTTACTATGTCAACAGTTACTTACTATATGGCAATAGTTACTTATTATGGCAATAGTTTCTATGGCAATAGTTACCATGGTAACAGTTACTATGGCAATCATTACTTACTATGGCAATAGTTACTATGGCAAAAGTTACTATGGCAACAGTTACTTACCATGGCAATAGTTACCATGGTAACAGTTACTATGGCAATCATTACTTACTATGGCAACAGTTACTATGGCAATTATTACTTACTATGTCAACAGTTACTATGGCAACAGTTACTATGGCAATCATTACTTACTATGGCAATAGTTACTATGGCAAAAGTTACTATGGCAACAGTTACTTACCATGGCAATAGTTACCATGGTAATAGTTACTATGGCAATAGTTACCATGGTAATAGTTACTATGGCAACCGTTACTTACTATAGCAAAAGTTACCATGGCAAAAGTTACCACGGCAATAGTTACCATGGCAATAGTTACGATGCAAAAAGTTACTATAAAAAAAGTTACTATAGCAACAGTTACTATAGCAACAGTTACTTACTATGGCAAAAGTTACTATGGCATCCGTTACTTATCATGGCAATAGTTACCATGGCAACAGTTACTGTGGCAAAAGTTACTATGGCAACAGTTACTTACTATGGCAAAAGTTACTATAGAAGTAGTTACTATGGCAATAGTTTCTATGGCAAAAGTTACTATGGCATCCGTTACTTATCATGGCAATAGTTACCATGGGAATAGTTACTGTGGGAACCGTTACTTACTATGGCAAAAGTTACTATGGCAAAAGTTACTATGGCAAAAGTTACTATGGCAAAAGTTACTATGGCAACAGTTACTTACAATGGCAAATGTTACTATAGAAGTAGTTACTATGGCAATAGTTGCTATGGCAAAAGTTACTATGGCAACAGTTGATTTTCGTACCAACCGTTTCCATGGCAACCATAGTAATTCACAAATAATGTAATTATAAATTATATTTATTATATTCAAATAACTTTTGATCTAAATTTAAAAAGCCACGAAATCCTATAGATGTAGGCGCTTTGCGCCTGCTTTTTTTCCTGATTTTTTTGTATGAGAGATTCTTTTTTTAAACATTGAATGATACCTTATAGAAAACTCTTGTTATAAAAAAGTGATTCGAAAATGCTTGGGACAAACCACCCGGCACATGTTCACGGAGGTGTCCATTATGAAGTCTCACGGTTGCTTCTTCTCATAAATTTAATTAACGATCCTCAAAAACCGAGGAGTCGACACGCCTCGACAAGCCAAGATGGAAACAAAAAAGGATCTCTGGAAATCGGATCACTATATATATATATATACATACACGTATCTTGAAAGACCTATATATATATATATATACACATACGCAATAGCGTTTGATACGCGAGAACGATCCTGATGGCATGACTTGCATTTCGATCGTTCACAAAAATATACTAGTCTTTTTCTCGGTACTCGCATATATAAATAAAATGAATAATCCTTTTTTTTATAATTTCTTCGAAAATTAAAATTTAATGCACAATTAACGGGGCTATTCAGCTTGAATTTAATTATTTAAAGTAGTGGAGGTCCAAATTTGATCAGACAGTGGCTTTGTTCCTTCTTCTTGAAATTGTGACTATCATTTCCGTTATGAATAACAAAAGTCAATATTGAATTTAATCTTATTATAGATATATATAAAAGAACACGTTTTGTTGTACTCAATTCATCATCATTTTCTAAAAACTTTTCAAATTATTAAATTAAATTTACGGATGTTAAATTTATCTGAGGTGAAGTAAGTTCACATCCTTGGGATTTATTTTACTATAGAAATTTTTTGTCTCACATTTCGGATGTTGTAGGGTATGGTCGCATTCGTTTATTTTCAAGTTTCATGAATTTATTTTTATTATTTCCAAAATTGTTAATTCAAGCGGAAAATTGTTTCTTTATTATATTGAATTAACTGAAATTGGCGGATGTTAGAAAATTTCATGTATAAAAAAGTAATATCATAATTCGCCTTCTGATTTGTGTCGTCGTCGTATTTGTTCTCACCAATATAGAGGAACAAAGTTGACTTCCTTGGCGCGGTGGTGGTTTTTGAACTTGAATTCTCCCAATTTGCGGTGTCAAAAGATTGTTGAAATCCAATAAACACAATATCCATTGTCCATCGTTTTAAATCCATCGTTCGTCATCGAAGCGTGAAATCAATGCATTTTTCCTTTTCATTGATTTATATATGCGGTCAATTCTTTCTCGTGGTGCATTTGTATATTTTTTTTCTGGGGGGGGCATATCAAATGTGGTGTACTCACTTAAATAAAGGGCCTGAGAAGAAAAATTTGCCTCTTGAAAATATATATCACGCAAAACCACAAGAAACGATCTCTCGTAACGAATCGTGAAAGTCTGTCACGTTTAGGTATATTTTTAACTGGAGGGCCAAAGATTTTGTGGCCAAACTGAGTAACGACGATGTGTTTCGAAATTACCTAAATTCACTGTGAGAACATTTTAAATTACCCAAAAAAATAACAAAAGGTTATATATATATATATTCCTTTAAAATTATTTAGCAAATCTTTTATTAATTTTGCTCTTTCTTAAAATTCATTTTCCTCGCTGAATTAACAAACAATAAAAACCAATATATTCCTGTATAGTCATCTTGAGAGAAATAGAAATGAAAAGCATAAAACTCAAAATAGTATATACAAAGTATAAAACACAAAAGCTGAGGCCCTGGGTCACTCTGAAGAGTCTGAAGAGTCTGAAGATGATTTGTGTTTAGTTTTTTGGATGAGGAAGAGAATAGTAAGTAAATATAAATATATATATAGAGGAAGAAAGGTGTAGGAGCTAAAAAGCCATAAGGCCCCGACGGATTCTCATATATATTGATGTCGGAGGCTGAGCCGAAAAAGGGTCGTTCTAATTCCCCGCAACAATGATCGACTGTAAATCAACTTTACAATAGAATCAAAAGATGCTGCAACTTTCCTGGTATCCTAATGACAGCCAACTGGATATTATATTTTGATGATCTTTTAACTACTTTCGAAATCAAAGTATATTCTCACCTTTTTGATTAAAAATTAACGTCCACTTTAAATGATTGAAAAGTTTATTAATTACTTTTTGATTATTCGACTATTAGAAACTAATTTTATTGACTTAAACATTTGTTTCCTCTCTACATATCGAAATTAGAACACGGAAAAAAAATCTTCACCTGGAACAGCGATAAGTTTCATTAAAACAGCTATATATATTTCTCTAAAACAGGAAAAGTTTCCGCTATTCTAGAGAAACATATCGCTGTATAATAAATTGTAACTAATTTGAATGACTTACTTTTTGATATTAACATAATTTTAATAATTAGAAAACATATATGTGACACTCTTTGAAGAAAGGGACCTAAGAAGCAAAAAATTGTAGGTTATGTTTATGATAGCTTCCACTCTAATTCAAAAAAATTTGATGATGATTTTTCTTTTCTGCTCAAGTCGTGCTTAGTTAGCGATACTAGCGCTCTTGCGGAGAAACTGTTGCAACTCAGGTGAGAAAAATCGTCATCACTTTCTAAGGAAACTACTTCGTGCTTTTACCTTGATTAAAAGTTTCTTTTTAATTATATGTGAAAACAAAATCAGTTTCTATTTTGAATGAAATGAAAAGACCAATGGGTTTTTATTGAGAGTATATATCATCTTTCGATATATGTATTTTCACAAACTATGATTAAAATAACCTATAATTTTTTGGGTCCCTTTTTTCCAATCGTGTACTTATCACAATTAAATTTATTATTTCTTGATTATTTTTGTTGACCTTTTATATTAAAAATTCTTTTATAGTCTACTTTCCAAAAGTAGAAATTATTAAAAACAATATTTAATTTTTATAATCAAAATTTTAATTTTTTTTACTGCATACATAATGAATTCATTTATATATATATACTAAAAGAGCATCTTTCATCATCAATTATTGACAAAGATTTTCTCGTTTGTAATTACTGTGCAATTTATACCTGTATATATACATATAAGTTCCACGCATGATTAAAATGTGCAGTAATATTGTCTTTATTTTGCAATTAAAGTTTTATGAATCTATTTAAACTTTGTCAGAGATAAATCTGATGAATTCTTTGTATATACCTGTACATAGTATATAATATATATATATATATATGAGAGATGAAAGATACATTAAAGATAGCTGACATTCTGAACCAGCGAAGATAAATACTAAATCAAAACTATATAGGAAAGGTCAACGAAGATAATCAGATGTTAATCAACGATACGATATTTGTAAAGATCAATCTTTCTTACAAAAAATCCAACCTGCAAAATAAATCTTAAGTGAATTTCATTTTTTAAAAAAAATCTCTTATTGAAATAATTTAATATGATGGAAAATTTTATATTTTTTTTCACTTACGTTTATCTTAGAGGTGCAATCATTTTGAATAAGAAAAAAATAATTCCAAAATCATTTTTGCGTCATTTTTTTAAAACACTACTATTTTTGCAGAAATCTATAATTTCTTTTTAATAAGAATTAATAATTAATGAAATCTTAAAATAATTCTTTTTTTAAATTAGTAAAGGGGGATTTTTGGAATAAAGTTTGAAGGAAAAGTGAATAAAAACATAATGATTATATCGATACGCAGATAATATATATAATATATTCGCAATATTTACAATAATTTACTTTGTCCTACTTTTACAAATACTTTGTTGTGTGAGTGAGTACGTAGACTAATATGCGCATGAACGATAACGAGTGTGCAAGCTCGCCACATAAACCGGATATAAGAGAATTCGATCCTATTTTTCATTATTAATTTTTTTTTTTTTTCGTTAACAAATATCATTGGAGTATAGTTTTTTTTTATTTATTATTTTTAACGTAGTCACTCTATTACTCGCTACGTTTACTACGAATATAGCCGAAACATCACGCTCACTGTCATCACAGCAATTTTTTCATATATAATATACATATATATATATATATGCTTTAACAACTGATGAATATGTCGAACGTTTTAGAATATTGTATAATAACTCCACGACGTCAAAAATTTATAATTCTAATATTACACAAATTTTTAAAATTAAAGAAAAAAATTTAATATTTTTTAATTTCTGTAACAATATTGTAATTGCAAACAATTTTTCAAATTTTTTCTTACTTTTACATCAAATTCTTTCATATTTTTCAAAGTGTTTTTAATTTTTCAAATTGTTTTCAATTTTTCAAAATGTTTTTAATTTTTCCAATAGTTTGAAAATTTTTATTTTCGTTAGAAAAATTGAAAATTACAAATGTTGAATCCCACTTGGAAAGATTCCCCGGTAAGTTCCGCCTGGAGGTTCTATCAGAATTCCGCCGGAACTTCCAACGTAATTCCGTCGGAATTCCATAGGAGTTCCAAAGAATTTCCGATGGGATTCCGACGGAGTTCCGACGGAATTCCGATTAATTTTTTCAAAATTTTTAGAGTCCTAATTCCGTTGGAATTCCGTCATAATTCCGTCGGAACTCGGATTAATTTTTTCAAAATTTTTAGAGTCCTAATTCCGTTGGAATTCCGTCGGAATCCCATCGGAAATTCTTTGGAACTCCGATGGAATTCCGACGGAATTCTGATAGAACCTCCAAGGGGCACTTTCCGGAGAAAGTGGGATTTTTTTTTTTTTTAATATATCAGAAAAAGAATTTTAATATTGGCAATATATAATATATGTGACGTCGCAGCGAGACAAATTCTTTAACTCTCTCAATAAACCGTAATCAAAGGAATTTAATAAAATAGCATTAACCTGATTGCCGTTACACTTGTACATATATATCTTTGAGAGAATGAAAAAAAAAAAAAACTAATCGCCATAATCACAACAGTTCAAGCAATATTTTGCACCACATTGTTTTCTGTACAATTTTCCCTGTGGCTAAGACTGTTTATCTTTTATTATTTTCCAGAAGAAATCTGCTAAGCTCTGATTCCTCTAAGAAATTATCTCTATTTACAAATATTAGAATGTCCCTATTTGACTTTAACTGCACCCTTCCATTATTTTTTTTTTTTTCGAATTTATTCTATAATTTAAGTTAATTAGAAAAAAATATATAAAAACAGGACAAATCTTTATAATAATAAATAAATAAACCACAGAAAGAATGTAAAACAGAAAATTATTTGACGTAAATTTTTCACAATTTTTTTAATAATTTTTTTTTTACTTTTAATTGTATTTTTCAAAAATAAGGATCTATTTAACAAAAAAAAAATTAATAAGAAATTAGAAAATTATATTTAATAGATTGATCATAAAATAGAGAAATTGCGTTTTAAAAAAATGGGAATAAATTTTTTTTTGTCTGATGGAAATGGACAATTTGTAGGAAGGGTGTTGCAGCAAGGAATATTATTCGCTTGAGGCGCGCCGCCTTACCACATATAGAGGCCCTTGTCTTATCGATCTTGTGCTTCAAAGTTTATAAATACATACTTTGAGTGTAATATCGATATCGCTTTTTTCTTATTCGAATAAATTGTAATCGATTTCCGTTTTTATATATATATACCTGCAGCAAAAGCAATCTGTATAGATGTGAGCATTGGTATCTCGGGATTTCAAACATTTTAATGCAAATTACCACTACCCGATTTGAAATAAAAAAAAAATCGCTTTCATGAAATGGTAATTGTTACTATATTAACCGTTACCATAGTAGCTGTTACTGTAGTAATTACCATGACAACAATAAGCGTTACCAAAAAGAAGTATCTTAGTTTATATGTTTTGGTTCAAATACAATTGAACGTCCGAAATGTCACACATTGCTGGGAGATTTACCAGGGGGTCGATTACGTAATTTTCCCACTTCCCACATCCCACATCCCACATCTCACTTCCCACATTTTACATCCCACTTCTCACTTCCTACATTTTACATCCCACTTCTCACTTCTTACATTTTATATCCCACTTCCCACATCCCATATTTCACATCTCACTTCCCATATTTCATATCCCACTTCCCATATTGCACACCCCACATCCCACTTCCCATATTTCACATCTCACTTCTTACTTCCGATATTTCATATCCGACTTCCCATATTTCACATCCCACTTCTCACTTCCCATATTTCATATCTCACTTCCCATATTTCATATCCCACTTCCCATATTGCACACCCCACTTCCCACATCCCACTTCTTACTTCCCATATTTCATATCCCACTTCCCATATTTCACATCCCACTTCTCACTTCCCATATTTCATATCCCACTTCCCACATCCCACATGTGGGAAGTGAGAAGTGGGATGTAAAATGTGGGAAGTGAGATGTGGGAAATGGGATGTGGGAAGTGAGATGTAGGAAGTGAGATGTTGGATGTGGTATGTAAAATGTGGGAAGTGAGAAGTGGGATGTAAAATGTGGGAAGTGAGATGTAAAGTGTCGGAAGTGAGAAGTGGGATGTAAAATGTAGGAAGTGAGATGTGGGAAGTGGGATGTAAAATGTAGGAAGTGAGATGTGGGAAGTGGGATGTAAAATGTAGGAAGTGAGATGTGGGAAGTGGGATGTAAAATGTGGGAAGTGAGATGTGGGAAGTGGGATGTGGGAAGTGGGAAAGTTACGTAATCGACCCCCAGGGTTGGATAACTTACCTAAGGTAAATTACGTTCAAAACCCTGGGATTTATTTCGATATTTTTCGTATCACACTTCGGATACTCAAAGAAAAGTAATTGTATGCGCAAAATGCGTTTTGCGCAACGCCCTAATTCTAACCTACAAAATGATTGAAAAAATGTTCCATTTTATAGAATATAAGATACAAATTATAATGCCTTTTTTTATATAAAGCAGTCACAAAATCTTTAGATGTTGTATCTGCTTCTTGCGTTATATACAAAAGATTGAAAGAAACGAATTGTAATATATATAGACATATATATGAATTCAAAAGAAAAGATTAATATTTAATTTAACGATCGTGGTAGAAGTTAAATGCATTAAAATATTCCGCTATGAACATAAGTAGGTTGAAGAAGATCTTTGACCTTTGATTTTCGTGAATAGATTATTTTAGTGTTGATCGCTATTTTGCTTCAAATATACATTAACTTTCAAGAGGCGATAAATTAAGTACTGTGTGTGTATATATCTATGAACCGAACGCGATTCCTTTCATCGGAGTCAAAATGTTGTTCTATCGATGCTTTGGTCACGCGAGTCAGAGATCTTCCCCCCCCCCCTCATCGATTCTTGTTATACCAGTTGCACGACAGAGTTTTTATACTTTTTAATTTTATTTATTACAGGCTAGTTTTTTTCAATTCGTGCCAGCAAATGAACTTCATTTGCCAAGTGGAGTCATCTCTTCGACTTATGAAACTAAAGTTATAAACTTTTTGTATAGAAATTGGCTTTCAATTTTTCTAAAACTCTGCGCAGTTTAGTAGTTTAAGACCTACTGAACAATAAATTTTAATGACAAAATTCAAAATAATGGTCATAGCTTTTGATTACGATTGCGAATCTGAGGTCAGAATTTTAGAATTCAAAATAATGATCAGCTTTGGATTAAGATTGCGAATCTGAGGTCAGAATTTTAGAATTCAAAATGGCGAATCCAATATGGCGGTCGAGTTATGGAAAAATCACTCCGAATCTGTTACTTGACCCCAAAAAATCCCTAAGTAACAGATTCTGAGTGAATTGGAGAAATTTTTCCAAAACGCGTCCGTCATTTTTGAATTATGAAATTCTGACCTCAGATTCCTGATCTGTGACCCCAAAAAACCCCCGAGTAACAGATTAAACTACAGAGTTTCAGAAAAATTGGCCGAATGACAATTTTTGTACAGAAAGTGCAGGGTCCTTTTAGGAATTGTTTTTTTTAGTGAAATAATCGTTATAATTTTTCCACTAAACTTTTTAACAAACAAATTTTATTACCTGAAGTAAAAATAATACTTTTATCATTGACATAAAGATTAATTTCATCAACTATTATGATCATAATGATAATTTTAAAAGAAATATAATAATCCTAGAAGCACAATATCGACAATATAGCCTTCCTACTGAAAATCTCTCTCTCCACTTGTTCCATTAATCTTAATAATAATAAATTTCCCATTTATTCGAAAATTCATCACCTTACGTGGTAGTGCCATAGGATGATCTCTGGATAGCGCTACCCGCAACCACACCCGTCAAAGGATATCCCGCAGCGTACAATGGTTTCGGCATACTCAGCAGGTTTGTTGTTTTCCTTTCAACAACCTCAAATGACTCTCTTGAGGCTTTTTCCTCTTCGTCAGGTGCAATGATATTTTCAATAGTAAATGGTTTTTTCGTCTTTTTCCCCACTTGTTTCGATGGACTGCTATTCGAATGTCGAACAGGTAAAACATCAAGATTGGGACTCGTTCTGGGTGTTCTCTGTTGTTGACTAACATTACTTGGGGAAGATTCAAAGCCAGGTGACAGTCTTGAGGTGAAATTATTACTTGGATCTGAATAGAGAGCCTCCAATCTTGAGGATGTTGATGATGGTGATTCCTCATCGTTTCGTTCACGATGATAGTAGCCAACGTCGTAGGAATTTTCCGTGAATGGTTCAATATCCCTTGTCAGCGAGCGAATTGTTGACTCTTGACTATCGACCATTGTCAGGGATGGAATTGTACGTCGCCTGTCTGTCAAATCGGAAGCTGATGATGAATGAGGATAGGCGGGTAATTGGGGAATGTAGGGGGTTCCACTGAGTCCGGTGAAATTCCACGAGCCAGGATGAAGAAGAGTCGCTGCTTCATAGGGACTTGTGGCTTCACTTCCAACTTCGGGAACTGCACTGGCTAACCTTTGTCTTGCCTCGGGTGATAGGAGATAATATCCGGTGCAGGGAATATTTGTACGACATGCATCAGTTCCGGTGCCGACGCCCGCTGCCGCTTCGGTAAAGCCAAAGTTCCCCGTTGTTGCCGACGCTGCAGCCGCTGCTGCTGCCAGCATCATTCGCCTCTCCTGCATCTCCCACCTGGGACAGGCGTCGTAAAAATTCATTGTCGCAAATTATTCGCTTTAATTTTTTTTAATTAGAGAACTTTTCAAAGTCCCGTTACAGAAGGTTTATAGAAGATCTAATATAGATTCGGATTAATGGAAACAAAATTTAAAGAATAGTCACCTGAGAAGATCTTCCCGTAGACGATGAAGATTCGCTGCACTAAGTCCATTACTTGTTTCGCCTGGACTTGTTGAACTCGCTGGTTCCGGTCGTGGTGGTGGCATTGCGGAAGCGAGAGCTTGCAATTCGGATTTTAAAAGTTCTTTGTCCGGCTTATGAAGCTTAAATCGTTTTCGTCGTCGAAGAAGAGATCCATTTTCGAACATGGAAAGGGCCGCGGGATGCAGGGCCCAATAGGCACCCTTTCCTGGCCTATGAGGACCTCGTGGAACCTGAAATTGTCAAAATAAACAGTTGTTGGATCAAAATGTTCTGACTTGGTAGCGTCAAATTCAAATTTCAGTAATTTTTGGGAATTTTCTGTTTCTGTATAGAAACATGTTATTTAGCACAAAAACTTTCAGCAACGAAAGTTTTCTCAAAAATTACTTTGGTAATTTTCTTTTTAAATTAAAGTAATTAATGGTGAAAATTAAAATATTATTCTGAAAAGGAACAAAATTTATGTTTTGGAATACGTCTTTTGAGTTAGTCTCCGCTCTTATATAGTATTCAAGACTGATCTCAACTGTAGGAGAAAAAACTCTCACCATCTTGCGGCGTAAGTGTGGAACTATGATAATATATGGGAATTTTCATAGTTCCACACTTACGCCGCTAGATGGTGTGAATTTTTTCTCCTACAGTTGAGATCAGTCTTGAATACTATAAGAGCTACTATCACAGTAGATATATGTATTCCAAAGCATAAATTTTATTTTTTTTCATAGTTCTGACATCCTGTGATTTAATTATTTTTATTTTCAAAAAAAATAGCAAAGTAATTTTTAATTTATTTTGTAATATAATATTAATTAGTATATTAGAATAATAATTATCATTGACAGTAGGAAAACAAATAGAATCTTGAAAAGAGAAAGTCTTCAAGGTGTTAAATAAACTTTTTGAAAGATGTTTTTTTTTTACAGCCTTAATTAATAAATTTTTCATTTCCATATTGCTCTGTATACAATTAAAAAAAAAAATGTTATCGAATTTAACAATCAACGATAAGATATTCATGCGGTAGACGCATTATAAAGTTAAATTATAAAATTATCATTAATGTGTATAGATGTGTGTAAAGGATTAACTTTATCAAATGATCATTAAACTTAATAGGCGTCAGAAAATTGTCTCAATATTTACAAGAAATGCTAGTCTCGCTGCTGCACATAAATTGCATTATTTTTTTTTTACTTCCAAAAGCTGTCAATCTTTATATCTGGGTTAAAAAAAATGCAATCGATTATAATACTATTGATAGCATATCATGTATAGCAGTTGGTAAAAGACCGGTAGTAATAATATTTGTAAAATTATTATACTCTGCCGTTAAAACTAATAATCGCATTGAACGCAGAAGCCGTGTCACATTTACGTCGATTCAATGACGCAATAACTATTATAATGCTAATAACAATTAGGTAGTAATAACAAAACCGTATATAGGTGCGTCACCAACACCCGTTATTTTATTACAAACACACACATACATATACTTTAGTTAAACACCTTGCAGAACAATTTATGCATCTTTAGTGAATGTGTGTGAATTATTAATGATTTGTTTGAGTTTTCCACGCAGATTATTTCATTGTATATTGTTTAGTTTATTAAATGTATTCATAAATACCGGGGCAAAATTTCATGGAAAATTGTGCAAATCGAAGAATAGTGCCTTAAGGCGCGCATATTCATTATACTCGGTGCGTTAAAAGCAGACGTGCGCAAATCGTGTACACGAATAAAGCATTCAAATTAAAATACAAATAATATTAAAAATACATATGTAATATATGTTTGCAGAAAAAATTATTACAAATAGTTATTTATTATTTATATATTATTATAGCAGTTATCAAAGTTTTTAGTAATAAACAATTACATTTTTAATAAATAATACAAACAATTGAAATATGCTTTATACAATATTTTTTGACAGATGCAAAGTAAAACTCCTGAAACGTCTATTATGTGAAACTCTTGCTGTCAGTCCTCTCCTAACAGGGATGAGTACACGGAGAAAAATGGAAAAACGAATAAAGTAACTTTTACTATACTTTAAAAGTAAAATTGGACCTGTCCGAAGTTTCTGCGCATCTCTGGCAACTTTTACTCGAAAAATAGTAAAATTGACTATTTCTGTAGTAAATTTTACTGTTTCCGTAGTAATTTTTACTGTTTCCGTAGTAATTTTTACTATTTCTGAAGTAAATTTTACTATTTTTGGAGTAAAAGTTGCCAGAGATGCGCAGAAACTTCGGACAGGTCCAATTTTACTTTTAAAGTAGTAAAAGTTACTTTTTCTTTTTTTCCGTGTACTAAAACTCTATTAAAATACTTTGTTTCGTATATGTCGTGAGTTTTATTCGCAGCTGTTAATATATATTAGTCCATTAAAATTTTAATAATAGAAATTAATAATTTATAAATGAAATGTAAAAACAATTTGAATAGGACAAAAAAAAGCGTTGATTTTTTTTTTTAAAAGTTTAGCTATTGAGAGTGATGTGTTTAAAGATGATTCTAATAAAGTGGCAATTATTATCTAAGCGACACTTTACTCGATGAATGATGAAACAAACAAAAAGTTATACTACTGAAAAGTTAATAGCATGACTGCTTACGAGTCCGTCAACCACATCACAAATTAATGAAGCAGTCACCGGACTAGTGAGTTTCAGGGATCTTTTTACTCCATTTATTCACAGACTCCGCGCATATTAATCAACTGTATATATGTATATATTATTTATGCATATATACAAGAAGCAGAAAGGAGGAAAGAACATTTTTGCTCAATTATGTCAAATTATGTCGAAGCGATTATGTGTATGGCAAACTCTTCGACATAAAGCACGTTTTTTTTTTTATTAACTATGCGGTTATATATTTTTAAATCATTTGATTAGTATACGTTTTACACGACTTTACGTATCATGCTCATTTTCTTTTCATAGTTTATAAATATAAAGGAAGTAAATCGTATTTTTATTGTAAAAATCTGTGATAATATGTCAACGTATCATTAGTGGAATTTCCGTTCATGAAAGACAAATTCATTCATCTTTGCTAAACGTATTTAAATTTAATTCAATAATAAATGATAAAATATATAAATACCAATGTTCTCATTCACCAAAGTTCCCATTTGTCATAATTCTTCTTCAACTACCGCACCCTGCTCTAGTGAAAATTTTGTGACTTTGTGGTAACTTTTATTTTTAACTACCACACCCTGCTCTAGTGAAAATTTTGTCACTTTGTGGTAACTTTTAATTTTAACTACCGCGCCCTGGTCTAGTGAAAATTTTGTGACTTTGTGGTAACTTTTAATTTTAACTACCGCACCCTGCTCTAGTGGAAATTTTGTCACTTTGTGGTAACTTTTAATTTTAACTACCGCACCCTGCTCTAGTGAAAATTTTGTGACTTTGTGGTAACTTTTAATTTTAACTAGAATGTCACTATAAATTTTCACTAGAGCAGGGTGCGGTAGTTGGAGAATTATGGCGAGTGGGAACAATGGATATCAACCATTTTGCAATAGAGGAAAGCAGGGTGAAGCAGGTGACAAAAATATAAAGATATGTCATATTTCGGACGTTCTACTCGAATTCCAGGGGAAAAATTTACATGCGCCTATTCTAAACTAAAGTTTATCATTTTAATTCAAAAAAACAATATTTTTAAATGAAAGTGAAAAAATTATAAGAATCCTTTTTCTAAATGTGCAGATTTTACAAAGATGAAATAAAAATGTTGAACCGAGATAAATTAAATCTGTTTTATATATAAGAATGCGATCAATTTTCTGATATATTTATAAATACGCATTTGTATAATTTAACGCCTCCTCCTTTTGCGAGCCTACAATCACAATATATATGCAGGTGTCTTGTATATATTCTAATTGCAACTACAGCAAATACTAGTTAGAATGTGTCTCTCTACTATATATATATATAAAAGTAAGCAATCATTGAAGCAGAAAGAAAACGATTTATCAAACAGAGTAAACATTTCATTTCTATTGGCAACCCATTTATATTTACTATTTAGCGCATACTATCTCCGTGCAAAAAAATTAACATAAATATTAAACTTCATATATATATACTTCAACCTACCATTAGAAATGTAAATCTTTTCTAAAATAAAAAAATAATATATGAACAAAAAAAAAGTCATTCAAGAGGAAATTAGTTTTAATCTTGATTTTTTTGCATAAAAATTTCAATTTTATTCCTCTTTGGAAAAAAATAACAATAATTTATTACTTTTCTTATATATATATATACAACAAAAAAAGCTTAAAGAGAAAATATTGGATAATGAAATTTTGTATTAAATTAACTCAATTATTGTTTGTTATATTAATTTTTATAAAAAATGAATCAATTTTTATTTCGCGTGTTAACAATGCATTATTTGAATAATAATTCAAAGTTATTTGAACAGAAGTGGGACGAAAAGACATAAATTTGAACGGTCTGATCTCGAGATATATACATATATATATATATATAGCAAAATCGTATATATAAGTTGTACAAACATGGAAAGAATCATAAAAATAAAGAGCCCTGTATTTAGGAGGGTTTGAAATCTTTATAAAGTGACTTTTTTCGTGTTTGCAGTAATAACTATATATATATATATATATATACTTTGCTTCATTTTTTTTTCTTTTGCAACAAGTTGACCAATTGGTAGGAGGGTTCCATCAAAATCCTCTGCTATATATATATCCATATAGAAAACTATGTTGAACGTGTTTGGTAGGAGGTGCAAAAGTGATCATCGCCTTGGCAGGTGCGAAACAGATGGCAAATATAATAATACACGTATATATATATATTGCACCTACCAACAGACACCTTGCCACGTTTTCATGGAACGTCATGCCAATATAGTCAATAAGTAATAATCAAGAATGAAAAATTTACACGATTTTGCTTCATTGTAATGCCGCATATAACACGTTACATTATTGGTAAGGGTCTTTATTACCATTTTGATTTGCTACCGTGCACAGTCTTATTATACTGATTTACAGTTTATTTTACGGAATGTTCGTTTATCGAAATAGTCATCAATTGATTAAATCGAATTGATTTTTAAACGCAATTAATGTCGTAGTATGTTTTTTTTAAATTTTTTCACAGCATTTTCCGATTAAGGGTTTTTAATTAAGAGGTTAAGGTTATGTTATCCGTTTAGATTGCTT